TTATATAATTTAATTAACAAAAAAATTATAAATATAATTTTGGATTTTAAGAAATTTTGTATTCTTTTTTATTTTTTTACCAAGTATATTCGATAGCTATTGCTTGTCGATTATACCTATATTCGACAGCCAATGACTGTCGATTATATAATTATATTCGACAGAAAAAATTTCTGTTGATTATAGTCATTTTTTACTGTTGTTTTTATGTCAAAAATTGTCGTCGATTATGTCTGTCAATTAAGATATAATCGACAAAAATACTTGTATAATCGACAATATTTTATGACGATTATATTGCGTTTTCTAGTAGTGAAAGGACTAAGAGATTAATAATTACTCCTTCCTTTCTACATTATACTTATTTTTTTATTGAAAACTTATACCTAATTAATTACCATTTTAAAATATTCTTAAAAGAGAAAAAAAATGTTTTACTTTAACACTATTGTTATCTAATTTGATTTGCTTTTCTAATTTGACTTGTGCTAATACTTAAAGTCATGATTGGTTGCTGATAGTAGCTATTTCTTAATCAAATTATAAAAATAAAGTAGATTGGTAAAATTTCATTAAAAAACTAGGGAAAACTTTCTACAACATTAAGAGGTGAATGAGAAATATGCATTCTTTTTATTTTTGAAGGAATATGTATTAGCATTCATTTATTCTTTGAAAGAATATATATATATATATATAAAATTAGATGCTAAGTCTTAACTATTCATTACTTGCCAAAATTTTTCACTTTTAACTTATTTCTACAATTTAACCAAGAAATAATTATTATAACCAATCCAACAAGCACTAAACATTTTATGGCGAATAATAGGTGGCCTGTCGTTGTCTTTCCAAGGTTATAACGCAAGTAACGAAACGTCACAGCAAATTGAGTGTGGGACATGCAATTTTAATTTCCGGCATGCTTTCTGCTGCATAATGACACTTTAGTTCTAAACTTCAACACTGAAGAGGACGTCTGTTGCTTCATTTGATTAAAAGATGCACAAGAGGGCTGTGGAATTTGAAATCTTGTTCAGCATATTCCTTGCTCACATCTCATGCTTTGCCTAATTCATTAAACAATGTATCGTCCCTTTCTCAAAATCATGTATTGATTCTTGGTGAAAAAAGTGTATTTACCTTTGTATTTTCTGTAATTATTGAAATGAATCATTGTATTTAAAAAAATAAATAAATCTCCCTTCATAATTTCTAGTTGAATAAATTAACTCTCTTATATTTCAGTTGAATAAATTAATCAAAATTTAACAAATGAGATAACCATAAGTCATCATTTTGACTTTCCCCTTCAATACTAGTTAAGTTCTTATTAATTTGACAATTTTTACTTGGAAATACTTTGGTCCCTCAACTTTAATATTTTATACAATTTTGGTACCTCAACTTTTTTATATACTTTTTGGATCTCTCAATTATGAAAAATATATCTTTTTGTCCTTTTGTTATTTAGTCGTTTAAATTTGTCCATATATGTATATTTTTAGTCCTTGAACATTTATGTTAAGAGACAAAAAATTTGTATTTGTCAAAGTTGTCAATTTTGTTTTGTATCGGTCGATATGTACTGGTTTTTCAACTAAACCAAAGCAGTATAGGTTTAAAATCCATTTTGATAAAATTTTAACCTTTTTGGTCAAATTTCTATGTACCGACTGGTATTTTGCGTACTGATTGGTATACCAAAATTAAACTGGTACAATT